TTATCAACAGCAAAACTTACAAGTGACAAAAACATTTGATGAGCAATTAATGATGATGAAAGAAGAATGAGTTAACCTGGAGTGCTCATTACAATAAATTCATTAAAACAAGATATTTTTGCGTGGCCAAAACTGAAGCCAAAGGAAAAAGAATTTAAATAACACTTAGTACTGGGAAAGTGAATCCTCTAGAAAAGACTTAAATATGAAAGTAAACTACAAGAATAATATTATGATTAAAATGTAAGATGCAATCCTTTCACGTTTAAGCAACAGAATAAAGGTGGTGATATTCCCTCTGTGTATGTCATTAGCGAGGACATTCCTGGAGTGCTCCATCCAATTCTAGCATTAGTGCTTTGTGAAGGACCTTTACAAACTGGAATGGGCTCAGAAGAAGACTCCAAGAAAGGTATGAGGTCTGGGGAATGTGCTTCGTATTGAGACACTAAAGAAGCCCAGTTCACTCTAGGTTAGAAGGTGACTTAGTCACAGTCTGTAAGACCATTCTTGGAAAAGATTTCATCGGCCAGTTCTGTTGCAAATAAAGTCTAATAAAGTATTTAAATTAATTGGGGTTTTTTTACCTATTATTGTTACTTGATCATTATCCAATTAATGATAAAGATGGAACTATGGGAAATTTAATTTTGACAATTCTGATCTGGAAACAGAGCAAAAATATCAAGTGATAGTATTAATGTTTGGAACAAATTCTGACATAGCAATGTGTTGGATTTTCCATCTGTTGCAGTTCTTAAATTGAGCTGTAACATATCTCTCACAAAAGACACCTGATGTAGAAATTACTGTGTCCTGGTCTATAATTTATATAGCAGGTCAAGTCAGAAGACTAAAAGGAATCTTGTGGCTATAAAATCAGCCAGGAAAAAGTAACCAGGGTACACTGTGGTGAAAAAGACAATACATATGTACTAAAAATACTCCTATCATAATAAAAATACAGTGGAAAGGGAAAATTATACTAAATAACAGAAGAAAGCATCACTATTTCTAATGCATTGCTGACAATTAAAAGACCATATTTCTTATACTAAGACATCCTCTATCTTCCTTGCTTTGTCTAATTCAAGTAATTTTTACTAGGTACAGCTCTGCCTAATTTGCTTTGTAATTTCTACTGATGAGTTTGAATTAAGTTTAAAGCATGTAAATCAAACACAGTGACCACTTCAAAAAATACTGAATTTTATATATGGTTTTTGTATGCACCAGGGAGGCACAGAGAGTTTTTCTTCAGCTATTCTAAAAAGAGCTGGAGTGCAGATGGGTCTGATTGAAAAAAAAAGAAAAGTATACATATATACCATGTGTATTTATGGTCTTCTGTTCTTCTTAAAACAGACACTTCATTCTATTCCACTGTTAAATGGATATATTAAAAGTTACTATGTTTTGCAAGGAAAGACTACAGGTATTAAGACTTCGGGTTTTGTTTGTTTGTTTGTTTGTGTTTTGCTTGGTTGTGGAGTTTTGGGGGGTTTTCTTGTTGTTTGGTTTTGTGTCTTTTTGTAGTCATTGTTTTGTTTTGTTCTTTTGTTTTGTTTGTTTTTCCCAATGAGAAAGCATTAAGGTCTGTGATGAGAAAGTGCTTTATAGCAGCAATGGCACGTGTATTCATTTATGAAACATAAATCCTCTAGTGTCATCTAGCAATTTTTGGGAAGACTCATAGATTCAAATGTGCATTATATTTTATGTTCGAAATATATGGGCCAAAATGCAACTCTGTTGGCTCAAATGTGTATATAATGTTATCTGATGCAGTGTCTTCATTCCTACTGTTACAGGCAGATTTCTCTTTAGTGACCAAAACTATATGTGGTTTTATGCTCTTCTTCATTTTGAGAAACTGCCCCTGTTATATTTCAAGCCCTCTTACTAAAACACATATATCCTTCTTGGACTCATTCATAAAATGACTTCACAGAAATGTCTGGGGGGTAGGGAACATGAGGCAAAACATTGTCAGCCAGTCAAGGAAGGTGATTGTCTCTCTCTACTCTGCACTGGTGTGGCCTCACCTTGAATATTGTGTGTGGTTTTGGTCACTGCAATGTATCTTAGAGAGCATCCAAAGAGACAATGAAGATGGCGAAGGGCCTTGAGGGGAAGGTGTATGAGGAGTGGGTGAGGTCACTATGTCTGTTCAGCCTGGAAAACAGGAGACTGAGGGGAGATCTCATTGCAGTTACAACTTCCTTGTGAGGGGAAGAGCAGGGGCAGACACGGATCTCTTCTTTGTGGGGACCAGTGACAGAACCTGAGGGAATGACCTGAAGTTGTGTCAGGGGAGGTTTCAGCTGGGTATTAGAAAAAGTTTCTTTACCCAAGGGGTGGTTGGGCATTGGAACAGGCTCCCCAGGGAAGTGGTCACAGCATCAAGCCTGAGAGAGTTCAGGAAGAATTTAGATGATACTCTCAGGCAGTGTGTGACTTTTGGGAATGGTCTCCTGTGCAAGGCTAAGAGTAGGACTTGGTAATCCTTGTGGGTCCCTTCCAATTCAGCATATTTTGTGATTTTGTGATTGCTTAACAATGTTCATTACATACACTACAACTTCACCAAGAAGACTGTTAAAATTGAAAGCTTCTTCAAGTAGACAGCTACTTCACAATACTTTACCTGAAAGCTGTTATCATTTCCATTGACTGGTCTTTTCTCTGCCTCCTCTTATGCTTCTTCTGCTGGTGTTTTGTTTTAGCTAAACTTTCTCTTCTACCTAGAATATTTTTTGAGCTTGGAAACTTTCCAAGTTAAAAAAAAGAGTTTCTCTGAACTTTGATAAATGATTTTATTAATAGTGCAAATTTGCTAATTTCTGTTCTAAATACAGGGCTTATATGATTTTGTTTGTTTGTTTACTTGCTCTGTTTTTACTTCCTAATAAATTATTTTGCCCACGTTTTGCTCATTTCTGCACAGTTTTAGCCTCATAGAGAAAGTCTTTACAGATTTCATCTGTATCATTAGAAAATACTCAGAGGGTGGGAACATCTGGAAATAAACTGTATGACCCACTTTAGCGTACTTTGCACTGTGAAAGCTTGTATATTATTTCAGTGGCCCCTGGAGCTGCTATTCTGCACAGTTTTGTTCAACCTGGACCTCAAAACAACTGATCTCTCCTATCCCTTGCTCCCCCAAAATAAACTCATAACATTGAAGATGTGAGGGAGGATTGTGAGCATATTAATGTATAGATTACTTTTGGTTAAAGATTACTTTTCCCAGTACAGCCTGTATTCTTCCATTTCAAGGCTCCCAGTGCAGCCATGAAGAAATTGCTTCCTTCTCTCACCAAGAGAGTCACGACGGCAAGTACCTTGTTTCTTACTGCTGTGTGGTGTATTAAAGGCATCTGTATTGAATCATTCATTTGTGCAGCACTTTGCACACAGCTTAGTGAATGAAGCAGTGAGCTAATGAATGAAAATTCCTACTTAAAACAGACATATATATCTTTCAAGTTGCATTCCTTCATCTTGATGGCATACCTCAGCCCATTGGTTCAGTCCAAAGTAAATTCATAACATGTCATAGCTGGACAGGCCTCTGATGAGACTCTTTTCAGCAAGTTAGCATGCTGTTAAGTCATTATTTTCAAGGTCTCTAACACAGAAGTCCCTTGTTGAAAAACTTTGCTTTATTTGGCCAACTGTGTGAAGGCACGTTTGAGTGAGATTTTTAATTCCCAATTCATGAATATTATTCCAACACAAATGTAAATCTTTGTAAGCATTGGACTACTGCTGTGCATTCTAATAGCATATGGAAGATAATACTGTGCCCATTCTTAATCACTTAATTAAAATAATTGCTGGAACAACTTTATATAACAATATATAGTTGTGGGGTTTTTTATTTTTAATAATTTGTGTTGTTAGAGTAAGTCATGGGGAGGAATTTCTACTGACTTGTCAATGGTGGTGAGTCTCAAAGCAATAACTTTAGTAATAAGACACTTTATTCATTCCCATTTGGACAGAGTCTTGAAGAGGACAGAGTGGGGCAATGGTGCGAGCTGCTGGTGTGACTTGTTTGGGGATCTCCTGGCTCTACTATAGAGAGGAAACCAAGGAGAGTGTTGCTTGGGTCTCTGAGCCTCCTGGCTGAATTGAACCTGTCATATTTTTAAAACACCTAGGCAACTGTGGGTGTCTTTTGGAGGAGGCAATTTCTTTTAGCATTCTTTTCCTATTGCTTTCTGACCATCTCAATACTTTCTTAAGGTGTTGCCCTCTGTAACAGGAATGTGAACTGTACACAGGCCTGAAGAAAATTAACAGCGACTCAGAAAATGAAAATTATCTGGAGAAACCACATTCCTCAGGAATACAGTATCATGGAGACTTGATTATTTCTTCTTGTGGAAGGGGCCAAGGTGTTTTATGATACCATACAGTTGTAGCTGAGATTGGCCTGTAGCCCAATAACCTAGTCATTCCTTTCTGGTGTATTTCTGCATTGGACTTGTGCTGAAATGCCCACAGGAGATTTGGGTAACTCTCTACAAATGCTTTTGCAGGTAGTGAGTGTTAATATAATTTAAAAAATCTGTTGTTTTCCCACCCGTCTCCTACTCTTCACCTCTCTTTGTGAAAAAGATAAATCATTCAGAGGTGCCTTTCAGCATATACCTGTTTGTTGAATTTACAGGAAGGGCTGCAGTTCCTTTTATGCACATGATGCTTTCTAACACATCACAGGCATCTTAAATAAAATTCATAAAAAACATACATCAAACAAGCAAACAAAAAATCCTTTAATCTTAAAATATTCACACAGGAAAATTCTATGTATCTAACTGTGCTAATACAACTGTACCAATATCTTGTGGACGAAATTATGCTCACTGAATGGTGGATATTCTTTTAAAAAATGAGGGCATAAGACTCCTTCTTTCTTGTACCAGCACAAGCTGAAAAACCCAGACATATTTAGCCATCAGCTGCCTAAGGAAATGTCACTTACCAATGTTTAGGATGATAGATTGCATCCTTTAGATGTGCCATTCTCTCTCCTTCCTCTCCAAGGAAATCCATTCTCAATTTTTTTACCTTAAAACCTAAAAGAATCATAACAAAAGCTTCTCACTTAATTCATCACTTCCATTTCCTCCATTTTCGGAGCATTTATATAGCATAAAATGTGCTGCTTGTGGTACTCTGCCCACACATGAGCTTAGAATCAGCTATGCTGGTCAGACAGGAGGAACTGTGTTTTTGAAAATTTTAAAAAATAAAATCCTGTCTCAACCACTTTTAGAAATACCTGTATGAAAAGAGTTTGTCCCTTTCTCCCACATATAAAATTACTTCAGAAGTGTTTTTTGGATTATCAGCCTTCGAAGTTAACTGATACCAGGTAAAATGAGAAGTCTAAATCAACAACGTCCTATAGTCTGTGATTACAAGGGATGGAATATTCAAAATTATTCACTAATACATAAATGGGTATTGGGAATCATGTTGTGATCAAGACTGAGTGGATAGCTATGAAAACAGCCCAAACCCAGCCTGACCAGCTCTGAGTCATGGTAATAAGGCCTGAAACTGAGATGCCTCCTGGGGAGCTCATGCTCTCCTGTGCTCTGCACTGCTTTGGGGCTCCTTACTCTGGGATGCAGCACCAACCCCGGGGTGCTGTGTGCAGTGTTAGAGTATTTGGAAGGAGTGCCTTTCAAGGCCGTCTGTCTTATAGCACTGTTATCTCCACCACAGTGGCAGCAGTGTGGACTACACTCAGTACACAAACACTTTTGGTTCTAGTGTATGAGTATTACCCAGAACAGAAACGTGCCTCTGGGCCTTCTGAGTTTGGTCAGAGCAGCCCTGGCAGTGCAGCACTATGGAAATGAGCTCAGATTGCTTCTGGATTTGAAGTAGCCATACAAGTAATACAGGTCACAGAATATTCTGAGTTGGAAGGGACCCACATGGATCATCAAGTCCAACTCTCAAGTGGATAGCCCATAGAGGGATCAAAACACAACCTTGACATTAGCAGCACCATGCTCTACCCAACTGAGCTAACTGCCACTCTGACACATCAGTATTCACCTGTGTCTATAGCAGAGACACTAAATTCCTCCATATAGTGGTGTACTATTATGAACACTTTTGGCATATATAAAGAAGAAAACGAAACCCATCTTAACTCTGCCTAAGAGAGATCCAGTACCATTTCTGAGAGAAACAGTAGTGGATCCTATCAGTGATTCTGCAGGTGAATAACACACTGCTGAAAATAGACAACAACAGACAGAAATTAAAGGAGAAGGGAAGGAAAAAACACAAACGAACAAGCACATATTTGATATTTCAAAAAACTGCTCAGACTCTGACATTTGTGGCTCAGGAACATTTTCATCCAGGGTGTTGTTTCACATTTGTGATTATACGAATGAATTTAGCTGGTGATGATGGCAAACTTCTAGCATCCACATCTTCTATTCCATTTGTACGAAGACCTATGTCCCTCAGATCCTTTTGGAGCTGGCACCTACTCTGGTTGTTTGATTCTCACTATTTTCTAAACTGCAGGAGAAAATATCTTTCCTTATTTACCTTTTTCACACCACTCATGATTCCATAGGCATCTATTATGGGACCACTTTCTAATTTAAAAATTAACCATTGAATTATTTGTGTCTCTGACCAATTAAGCTCTGAAGGCCTTGTTTCTTATCTCAAGCTGCTTAGTTTTTTTTTAAGAGTTTTAATGAAAGATTTTGTAAAGAAACAGAGAAGCTCTATTTTTTCTGTAATTTATTTAATGAATTCCCTCTGTAATTTCAGTTTATTTATCCATTATTTCTACTGTTTATTATAGCTTTTACTCATTTTCTGCAGAATTAATGTATTAACCTGCCCTTCTACAGATCTCTCATATCTAGGTATTTGTAGGTATTGTATCACTTTAGCTGCCTTCTTGACTATCAATTCAAAAGCATTTTTAAGGGAAGGCACTGAACAGGGCTGATGCAGGTTTATGTCCTGTTAACATGAAGAAAAGGGAATCAGACGCAATTCTCACCTGGCAGCCCTGATTCCATGTGAAAGTAAGAGTGTGAGTCCTCCTTCATTTCTGTGAATCATATCCCTTATTTCTTCTTTTACATATCCATGAAAATATACCGTTTTGCTTCAATACAATGCAGTGTACATTGCTTTATTTTGGGAAAGAGTAATGTTTTTTAAAAACATATTTTAATTTGACTAGAATGAATTGTGTTCTTCAGTTTGTTTTTTTCTGCTTTGTCTTGAAAAAATAAAATTTCTATTTGCACAGACTAAACACTTTCCAGGAAACAGATCATGATATTTGATTTTGCTCTGAATGTGTACTAAGTTCTAACTTTTTTTTTTTCCTTTAAACTTAATATAAAGTCTCAGTTCATATATCTGTGAGATCAAAAATGCACAGTTCCAAAGCACTATGTAGGAAATCTATAAAAAACCCCAGGTGTCTGAGCAACAGTTTGACAAGTGGAGAGACAAAAGGAACATGGGGAAAGGAACAGTGTCAGAGAAGTGTGAAGACAAAGGGTCCAGAGGCAAGGTTCGTGCTCAGTGTCATTAGGGAAATAGAAACTCTACCGGTGTCAGTTTTCTCTCTGTAATGCATCTCTGTCTCAATTCATGCTAAATAGATTGGCAAGCACTGCTGACTGCCTATTATTTTACAATCCATGTTTTTTAAATATATATAGATAATAGTATGCTTCAGTCCCTTAGCTAGATTATCAATAGGACATATTGACAATCCACATATTTATAGATTTGGTATATGGTAGTGCAACAGTGAGAGAAGCGTTCTCTTTTCTGAGGACTCTGGTGACTCCTCTATTGGAGCAGAGAGAACTGCGTCTTAATTGGCCTCTGGCCAAGAGCTGCTTGGAGATTGGGTCACAGGAGTCTAGAGAATGGCTCAATCTTATACAAAGTAGGTATCTGTAATTAATCAGATGAGTTGTGGCTGGAAGTACCTGCTTCTTCCAACTGTAAGTCTTCATTTTGTCTTTAAGCTACAAATAGTTGAAGCTACACAGGTGAAACTTAGTTCAGGATGCTGAATCTTTTTACCAGTAATGTTGCTGTATTACTTAGCACTGAGATTAGCTCAGCTGGTTAGGACATGGTGCTACATGCTCTAACATCAAGGTCATGGGTGTGATCCCTGTACAGGCCATTCACTTCAGAGTTGGACTTGATGATTGTTGTGGGTCCCTTCCAATTCAGAATGTGACTCTGAGCCAGCACAACAATTCTCAGTTCTGCTTCTGAAAAAAAGAAATATTTCAGGGAAAAATTAACAAAGTTTTATTTGCAGTTTGTCTTGCTTCTGTCATAGTTTTAATTAGTTTTAAGGCAGAGGAAGTTGGCAAGCTTTGTTTTGTATATGTCTCCTGTAACAGCCATTTTCCAGGAGAGTACAAGAGCAAAAGCTGGTCCATCCAACTTGTTGTTTGCAGTATTACGCTTTCAAACAAACACCACTGGACATCATTCCCACAACGTATCAAGAATGACACATCAGGAATATCTGTGTATGAGGAATATCCGTGTGTAGATAACAGGTATCATCTGAGGCTCGTTTGTGCTGGGTGTCATATATTTCACTGTATGAAGGAGACAGTACTAATAGCTTGTGCATGTGTAAATTTTCCACCAGAAAGGGTGATTTGTCAATCTCTAGGTCTGGCTTAATACGTTATCTTTCTGTCATACAATGGTTTTTTTCTCACTATAAATTCCTTGTACTGTTCCAGAAGTGCTTCCCAATCTACAGCCAGAGAAGCAAGCAGAGATGCAGGTGGCAGCTGCAGACTTGACCTGTTGAAGAGTGATCCCTGTTTCAGTCCTTTGTACTGAGTGATGCAAGAGCAGAGTTCCCACAGGGCTGAAGTTCAGTCTAACTGAGGTGACAGGACCTTGCTGCACCAGTGTGAATGTCCCTGATTTTTAAATTAATGTCTTTCAAACGAATATAAATCCTGGCCTATGAAGTCCAGACACAATTTCAGTGACTTATTTTACTTAAACTAATCAGTGAGAGCTGTATTAAAATAAATGTGGTTTAGCAAAACTGAAAATTTATCCAAACTCCTCTTTTCTGTTTGTTTGGTTTAAAATCAGGTTAATTAAAAAAAAAAAAATCAAACTTACAGCTGGTACAGACAAGCTACAGCTACTATATTTTATTAAAATACACTAAAGACACTCAGGTCTTAAAGTTATGACAGTAATATTAAAAATATGATTTATGATAAAAGTTTACCAATGTGTCTATATCCAGCTGTTGAAAAATGCTGAAAACTTTTTATTCCAAGGCCTTAAGGATACCTTCATTCCATGTCTGCTTTTATTGTTCACATTTTTTTTTCCAAGATGCAGTATAATTCCACATTTTAGCCAGACTCCAGTCTTATGCTATATAGACTGTCAGCTGATTCTTTGTCTTCCTGCTTTTCTGCAGCATGCCAGCACTATTTCTTGCTCTCCAGCTTTCTTTTGGAGAGCAATTTAATTGCATTTGAATGCCTGGTCCCTGGACTGTTCTGTGGAGCCAGGTAGCTGATGATCAGGAAGCATGTCGCTGGAGTCCAAGACTGCAGCTGGAAGCTGCTGGAACAGGGTAAACGAATCAGAGCTGTTAAAAAAATAGAGTAGCACATGAGCTGTAAAAGATTGCCTTTAAATTCTCCCTCCTGTAGAGGGAAGTAAGTGCAACCCTTGCTATCTGGAAAACCTCATGAGACCCCAGATCGAAAGGGATTATTATTTTTTTTATTAAAAATAAAATGTAGTTTCTTGTGGGTTCTGAGTGCTTCCCCATACAAGACAGTACATGGGGCTTCTTTGCAGTTTTTCTTTTGCTCCTACTGAAATCAGCAGAAAATCACAGTTGATCTGGGTGGAAACAGAATCTACACAAAGTTCAACTCGCTTTTCAGCTGAAAGCTCACAAGGATTTTATCACTGGTCAAAGATTCCTTCCTGTTTTATGCAGAATTTTCTATTAACCGTAAAAACTGAATTTTTCCACACTGTCATATGTTCACAG